GCTCAGTTAAATCTCAAAAGAAATTTGTAAAAACAATTGTAATAATAGAAAGTTTGCTTATTTTTAGATGACTGCAGGAATGGTTTGTTTGATTATTGGCCTATCAAACATTTTCCAGTCATTTGATGATACCACCACTTGGGATAGTAAGCTGCAAATATAGACTTGTACTCAGCACTTATTGCCTTTGAGAAGTAAGGGATCCTTTTGACACTGAATTTCGGTGTATGCGGACACTGAATCTCGGTGTATGCGGTCTCATTGGAGTAACCCGTCTGAAGCATTTAGCAATGGGATTGGAACCTGTGATGTAAGAATCAGCTTCTTATTGGTACTTTGATTGGTAATGTTATTTGAGAATTTTCACTCCTTCACTCATTTAGAGGTGTTAATATATACCTGTGAATAGTTTTTATTTAGACCTTTATTTGGAACTCAGTGACATTGTCCTAACATGTACTATGAGGTTTTTAAGGTCTCATTCACTTCAAATGCTGGGTGCATGGTTAAGTAACATTACTGCATCATGTTTTTGTCTTAGGTTTGATGCAGTGAATAATCAAAGTACTCAGAAGTACTGAAAGCTGGGCTCATTTACAGGGTAATGAACAAAGACTGTGATGAGAGTTTAAAAACAAATTCAGACTTGAGTGGATATGTTATCCACAAAAATATCTCTATGGCATATATGTAGTATTAAAAAGTTTTAAAATTAAATAAAATTATTATAGAATTTAACAGCATAAAATATTCATCACATGTATCGTTTGAGGCGGTTTCGGGGATTTATATACCAACAGAAGTAAATAAACACTAATGCAGCAAGATTAATTAAGGTCAAACGATTATGCACTGATGTGTCCTCAGCTGAGAATTTGCATCAAAGCGTACATCAAGTAATTAATGATGTTTACCGCATTTGTGTTAGACTGACAATACAACCTTTATTTATAGAATATGGCGCACACATCGATACCTGATGAAAACCTTTTGCATATTTTAAACAAATAATCAATGGAAGAAGATGGTAGATAGTAATTATTATAATTATTTTTTGACAATTTCAGATAACTTTGAAAATTTAATTCTGTAATCAGTGTTTGTATTGCCTCAAATTTGATTGCGCAAATGTACTATATTTTAACGTGTAAATTTGATTAAGCATCAGTGATGAAGCAGCATTTCCTGTTGAACTTCGTAGCAATGAGCCCGGCTAGAAATCAAGCTAAACTTCAGGATTATATAAAGGGAATGCCCTACCACTAGGCTACCATAAAGACAAAGATGTATTTTGGTTATATAGGAAAAAATGCTTTGGCAAACACTTATAATGAATAGAAGCTTATAGAAAATTGAATTTTATTCCTTGTCTTTTTAAAACATATGGAAATCTAAATGAAAAAAATGATTTACATGTACCCTGGTACATGTACTTTTACAAAAAAACATGGCTAGTTGGTTATGAAAATTATGGTGTCCAGATAAGGCTAATTGTAAAAGTGCTTCAGCATGTTTAGGAACAATGTGCTAACACAGTGTTCACAACACTGTCAGGCTAAGGCAACTTAAAATAACATGCAGTTGTGCTGACACAAAATATGCTGCCATGCCAACACAGCTTTACACAATCTATTACATGTAATCTTGACTGTGTGGTGTAAAAGCCTGCTGCAACATTGTTACAATTCACAAGTACATTGTCATTGTGTTGTCATAAACACACTAGACCATCGTCATAAGTGTTGTAGCACATTTTTACTTCATGCTACCTTGTAAGTGTCTTAAACTGGCCAGAATGTTGTCATAAACTTACTAGCATGGTGTTATAAATGAGCTAGAGCCACATTGTTACTTTGCGCTAGCTCTTTGTTCCTTATGCAATAGCGTTTTGTCACTTCATTAGCGCATTGTTCTTAATTGCTGTAACACCTTTACGAATGGTCTTATCCTGACACATAAAAAAATCATAACTGGATACCATCTTTTTGGCTAATTAGTCGGTTAACAACTGTTAACCATTACCATTCCTAATAAATTTTGATATGAACAAGTAATGTACATTTTCTTTATTTGAAATCATGAAAAACTAATATGTTATTTTATAACATCCTCAAATGACTGCCTGTAAACCTATATTTTTAAATAATTATAGACTACCGGAAAATGTGACAGTATCTTTGAACTCAGTTTGATGGTTTATCTTATCTTATAACAGTGTATAAGTTGCACTTTTTAAAAAAAATTCAATAAAAAATTTCAATTTCTTTTTGATAGGTGTGACTGTCATCAGAGTACTGAAATTTGATTCCAAGCACGATCATGATTTGCCAGAAGAGCATCTGTTGGGGGATGACAAGGAATAAACAGCATAATGAAATTGAAACATTCATGTGAAACAGTCTTAGTTTATGATATTGACTTTAAATATTCATATTTAAATTTTGATTTGAGAAACAGACATAAATCCACAAATATGAACAAATCAATTGCTTTCAGTTTTTCAAGAGAAATAGATTTTGTTACAGAGTCTATCTTTAGTTTGGAATAAATATTCTTTTTAAGTATGTGTCAGATCTTGCATGTTAACATCTGTATTGAGGTCTTCCGTTTCCAAGAGAAGACATACCAGTTCTAATAGTTAAGGTTATAAATGTGTGTAAATATCTGTATTTTTACAGTATAATTGATTGATTGATTGTTTACTGTTTAACGTCCCTCTCCAGAATATTTCACTTATATGGAGACGTCACCATTGCCGGTGAAGGGCTGCAAATTTAGGCCTATGCTTGGCACTTATGGCCTTTGAGCAGGGAGGGATCTTTATTGTGCAACACCTGCTGTGACACGGGGCCTCGGTTTATACGGTCTCATCCGAAGAACCGCCCCATTTAGTCGCCTTTTACGACAAGCAAGAGGGTACTGAGGACCTATTCTAACCCGGAAAGGTTTTTGCTATTTGAGTCAAAGAAATAAAGAATGGTAGCAAAGTTGACAATTGAAACATTTCACTTTCTGCTTATCGCTAAGAAGGAAGACCCACTCGTTGCTTTGCATTATAAGTATATATTAGAAGCATAGACAAAATGACATGGTCAAAAAAGTAAGATCTCACGCGCATGAACGTGTGCTTGGCTCTGATTGGCTGAAATTAAATTCTCAATATCTTTCTTGTTTCTTGTCATAATCCTTTGAAATTTTGAACACAGACTCATATTATGAAGATCTACAGCATGATATATAAGAATTTTCATGAAAGCATGTGCATGCCCGCTTGCTGCAATCTGATTGGCTGAAACATTAAATGGCGATATCTCCTTTGTTTTTTGACGAAATGCTTTGAAATTTAAAACATAGTCATGCATTAGGATATCCTACAATATGATAAAGAAAAAAATCATGAAATCACACGCATGCACGTGTGCTGCAATCTGATTGGCTTAAACTTGAAATGGCTATAACTCCCTTGTTTTTCAACCAAAGAGGATGGGATTTAGAATATAGATAGATATTAGGGACTGCTACAAGAAGGTATGGTCATCATGCACGTGCACGCACGTGCGTGCATTTGGAACGAGTGAAATGAAAAATACACTTGAAAGAGTGATTTTTCTTACTTTTTGACTGAATGCTTTAATATATTGTATATTAAAATTTGTAGATAGTGTAGACAAGATGATGTGATCATAACGCACATACATTCATATGCGCACGGGTGCAATGCTAAAATTTGAGTATAATTGGTATTCTTCTGATAAAACGTTGTTAAAGTTAAAAATGCACAGAGTTTGTCTTATTTAATGAAGCTTACAGGGAATATGGCACCAAAAAGGAGTTGGGGAGCGTTTGGGGAACATCTGTAACGGTCCCCGTTACAATTAGCACTAGTTTTACTATAAAATTGCTATTATAGAATTACTTCTTGCAAAATTAAATCTGAATTAAAAGCAAAAATCCCTAATTTTGCGTCTCGCTAAAATTTGCACACATGCAGAATTATATTCTAGTATATACATGATATATGAATATCTTTATAAGTGTGAAGGGTACTTTGTATTAATGGCCGCCTAAGCTCCATTTTGATGTACGCTCACTTTAGGATACATTTTATGTTTAGTAAATCTGAATTTATATCCCGTTTGATTCAAGAATACACCAAAAGAAAGGCAGGTGAAATTTGAGCGTTTTTTCTACAACTGTACATGAAACTATAAAAAGTATTCTAAAAGGGGAAATGCTAACTTAAAACATAGTGCATTTTGAGTTTCAAATGAAGGATGGATAAATACCGTTCCTACACTGTTCTTCGGAGCAAAGAATTACTGAGTTCTTCATTGAGCACTGAGCTTTGATCCGCCCCCAGAGAGTTCTTTGACCGGTGGCAGATCTCATTTTACGGTCACTTCTCTCGACTGCTCCGCAAATCATCAACGCATCATTATAGGGGCAAGTTTCTATTTGTTTTGAAAAATTGGGGAACATGCATGTCGTTTGTTTTCTGATGGTTCGGAAGGCTGTTGCTACCACCAGTAATGCGCTCTTCAATCGAAAATTTGCACGGCGTTAATTTTTTTTCTCTTAATTGAAACTCTGAAAGACGACTTTTGGAAATCAGTTTATTTGATTTTGTTGATTTTATTTTCCAAGTCAAACTTTTCTTTGTTAAAGAACGGCAAGAAATACAACAAATGAATTCAACGGAAACGCAATTGTATATTTTTTAATGCTTCAAGTCCCACTTGCATTACCGATTTTAGATTTTACAGAATTTTTTGCTCCAAATAGATTACTAGTATAACATTTGGCGCGATATTTGCACAATTTTTGGTCCTCTGAATGAAACTAAAAAAGAATGTAAATTTTTTTGTAATTGTAACGTCATTTTAATCACGCCATCCCGTTGCCTTGACGACGACATTTGAAGCATCATAATCTCTTAGTGCCCCTCCTATTAAATGCGACCTTTACTCGACAGACAGACAGAAAAAAGGCCGCCGTAATTATCCTTCGTGATGACTTTAGCAGATCGAAATAATACCAGCTTGAAGCCGCCTAGCTGTTGGATATTACGGAAGGTTTCGGGGTTTATCGCTACATTAAAGCATATTTGGGATGTACATGGCGTGAAATTGCATATCCATATGTAATTCCATTCTTGCCGAGGTTCCAATGCAAGTTCTAAGGTCTTAAAACATTAAATAGATTTTTCATCGATGCGGGCTTAATGAAACTTAGAAATTATTTTGATATGTGTTTTGATGCCGTGGCCTAATATGAGGTAAATGAACGCAACGTCATAGTGACGCAATGCGACGAGGTCCAAGCGGAGAGGATTTACATCTTTCAGACGAAAACGATAGCTGTGGTTCAACTGAGGACAACCAAACTTCTGGAATCCGGAAAAGAAAATCCCGAAATTATTCTGACGGAGAGGACAAAACGTGTAGCTTTAACTTTGACGGAACCCCCGTCCCAAAGCAGCGGATGGCTGCTAACGCTCGTGAAAGGGACAGGACGCATAGCGTCAACACGGCGTTCGTGACGCTTAGGACGCTTATTCCTACAGAACCTGCTGACCGGAAATTGTCAAAAATTGAGACTTTGAGACTAGCCACGAGCTACATAGCTCACTTAAATACGGTGCTGATGGTGGGATCGGATTGTGTCGACCAACCGTGTATAAAGCATCAGGCCATGATTAGAGGCGGGGTGGACAATGTACCCAAACCTGTGTGCACATTTTGTCTGAGCGCCTCCAAAACGAGACCGGTAAGGCATCACGTGACTTTTTGAGGTAATATTTGTATTAAATCTAAAGTATCTACATTGTATAAATTATTCACTGATATTAATTAGGTTTTTAGTAGGTATAATTCGTTTTCAATAAGAATTTTACATTAATCTCCATCTAATTGCATTGCATTTGTTCACACCTTGTTCTTTCATTTTTTTTTATTTCGTACGTGCCATAAATATTTTAGCTTTTTAACATTATACTTTTCAAGAACTTTGTCTAACAACGCTGGAGCAAGTAGATTTTTTTCCATTAACATTTTGCACTTTTTCATTCATAAATATTCTAGGATTCTCATACATGTAAGTAGATTAGAATTATTTTGTGTAAAGAATTTTACATTAATGGTTGAAATTCTTTTGAAAATCGTTTCATACAAAAATTCGTATTTACACATTTCATTTTTAAAAGTTTTTCCCCCGAAGTCTGTCTTAAAGGAAACATTTATTTTCGAATTTATTAATGATTCTTTTTAATTAATGTTTATATTTGAGTACTACATGTATTATGTGTTTCGTTTATGTCAGATGCTTTTCAAAATTATTGATGAGCTTTAAGAAGAATACATATTCTAATCTCAGAACTGAAGGCGAATTGTAGAATATCTATTTCGATCGATAAACATTTATAAAATGACGATAATACAATTCATTACATGAAGCTATTAACCGGAAAAGTATTGATAAAAGTTACATATATTTACAATGAATATACATTGTCTTCTACAAACATGTAAGCTATATATATAATATGATACATTTACATGCTAATCTGGTATTGAGCTGCTACAAGCACTGGCGGATTTAGAGGAGGCCTGGACCCCTTCTTTCATGTCCAAAATATACATAAGATTAAACAAATCAATTTTTTGGTGTGGCTGTGGGCCCCTTCCCCGATCCAAAACTGGTCTTCCCCCGCCCTCCTTTTTAACATTCCTGGATCCGCCAGTGACAATGAATAAATGTACCGAATGTAAGAATGTGCATCGTCGCAAGCCACGGGAAATAGAATGGACACAAAACCCGTGTGTGGTGCACTAAGACCGGGTCCGACCTGCATGCACGTTTTGTAATTAGAGATGAAGACTAATTAGATTCTCCAGATGACCGAGGGTCATTAAGCGATGTTAAAATAATAAGCCATTTTTGATGGAAGCTTCATTGTGAATATTTTATTTGTCCATGCAATCCCTAATGGGAATTTTTCTGACGATGTACTCCACTTTCGTTCATTGATATGTACAAAAGATTATTTTCTCTTGGAATTATATGTAACAAAAAAAAAAAAAAAAAAAAAAAGAAAGAAAAAAAAACCTAACCATTTTTAAAGATGAAAAAATGTTTCCTAAAACATGACTCAAAATTATTTCATTATTTTCTGAAAAAGTTCTTGACCTCACGAAGAAAGTTTAAGTAAACAGTTTAGAGGCGGAGATGGACACTAAATCTGTCATCATTGGGTCAGAGGGAAAAATGATACGAGTTTGTGCATGGAATTCAGAGGAAATTAGCTGTTAAAATTAATCATAATATTTATTAGAACAAATATTATATTGTTCATATACTATATATAAATCGTGTTAAATATTCAAAAAATATTATCAGTCATAGATTCACAAAGACATAAATGAAGCATTAGGAAATTGTTGTGTGTGTATTTTTTTTAATTTAATTTGTATATATCCATCTAACATTATTCATAAGGATAAGAACATTATTTTTATCCATGTATTAAACTAACTTAAATTCAGAAAAAACGAAAGTACATTGGCAGATTTTGCAGGGGGCCTGGGTCCTCCTTTTGTGTCAAAAATATTTACATAAGAGTTAATAAATCTACATGTTTTTATTTTGGTGTGGGTGTGGGCCCCTACCCTGAACCCCCACCCCACCACACCCTTCCCCCTAACAGATTCCCAGATCCACCACTGGAGTATGAACTTTCACAAGACCGTAGAGTCGTCCCAGAAACAAATACGTGCAGCTGTTTGTAAGAGCTTTGAACATTAATTTATCTGATCATGTTTTGTGGGAAACAGATAAATGGATTCTAGAGCGAAGCCCTAACATCCATAGTAATAAAATTATCCCGGTAGTTAAAAGAATAATTATATGCTTTATTTGTTTAGATATTACATTTTATAGCATAAAAAAATTAATAGTTACATTTTAGAATAGTATTTAAACGTTTATAACAATTATTAAATATTTGCCTTTGCTTAATACCACGTCTCTAACATTATACCGTGTATTCGCTGTTAGTCAAACATCGTAATACCGTATTTATTTACTGTATTAATATTTGATGTAAATATATTGTTGAAGAATTTAAAGGCACATCCTAAAAGTATAATTTTCTTTTATAAAGTTTCTTTTTTGATCTTTTAGCTTAAATTCAAAAACTTACCAGTAATTCTATCAACTGTCCTGACAAATTCATATATATTTACACAGATATTTCTTTTATAAATTAGTTACGGTAATTAATATCTTTATATTGTGTTGGGGGGTTCGTTACAGCTGGTTTATGTAATGATATGTACATTATTATATATTGGAGATCAGTACTATTTAATTTATACAGTAATATGTACGATCATACCATTTGTTTGACGAGTGAACATTAAATGCTTCGCAAAAGGTTTTGGAAAGGCTGAATACTTTTTCTGGAGATAAATCTATGATTATATGCGACGTATCAAAATGTGTTGAATTCATCTCAAACTATACAGCTATATTCATACAATCTACTTTTGCAGAGTTGTCATTCTTTTCTCTCTCTCTTACACATCTGCAGTGGTCTTGCATCAAGATTTTTGACTTGAGTAAACATGCACATATGATATTCCAGGAATTATTTCAAATTGAAATAAAATTTCTGAATCTTCTTACATATTTTAAGACCGCGGAACATTAACTGGCAAAATTGGAAATATACAGCTTACGTCATTTCTATCTGTTACAATCAAAACATTCAGTGATAGACAGCGTAATGGGCGGGTAAAATTCGACGCGGACGTTTGGAAAACATCGGATTGAAATTGCAGATCGAAATTCATTTTCAATCCACCTCAGCTACGCTAAGACCGCGGAACATTAACTGGCAAAATTGGAAATATACAGCTTGCGTCATTTCGATCTGTTACAATAAAAACATTCAGTGATAGACAATGAAATGGGCGGGTATAATTCGACGCGGACGTGGGGAAAACATCGGATTGAAATTGCATATCGAAATTCATTTTCAATCCACCTGAACTGTTCAAAGCAAAGAGTGAATATATGATCCAAAAATCAACTAATTTCAACTCCCGAATACATATTGTTTGAAGTTCACATTAATACGAGTTTTAGCTTATAATTTTAAGGACGCGAAAGATCATAGAAAACAAAGATTATTAAATTTTTTCAGGAGATATTTGATTCTAGATGGGAGGGGGGGGGGGGGTAAAAATTGTCGAGTCAGGTCATGGCTTAACACGACAATATATTTTATTTCTAGGATTATTAGAGTGCATGAGTTTTATGCTTATTCTCACTGAAAAATGTTGGACAACTTTATCTAAAATTGTTAAGCCCCCCTCCCCCAACACAAACATATATTTACAAAACAGAAATGAAATTGTCCCTTTATATTTATTTAAAACACTGGACAAAATAATTCAAACTGTACCAAAATTGAAATTATTTGTCTTCTGGATCAGTCAGTAACACTGTGGCTTCTAGTGTAGTTGAGGTGGATTAAAAATGAATTTCGATCTGCAATTTCAATCCGATGTTTTCCCCACGTCCGCGTCGAATTGTACCCGCCCATTTCATTGTCTATCACTGAATGTTTTGATTGTAACAGATAGAAATGACGTAAGCTGTATATTTCTAATTTTGCCAGTTAATGTTCTGCGGTCTTATGTATCTACCACAAAGGACAAAATTAGTGCATGCATTTAATAATAATGAAATTATAATAGATCCACTAGTTAGGCCACAACAATTTAATTTTTAGTTCATCGGACCTGCGCACTCTTAATATTTAACAAAATTATGAAATAATACAAATGATATTAGTTTAAAATTCCCCCATCTAGGAAATTCTCTGATAATTTCTAGTCAAAATTTTATTCAATTTTTGCGTATTTTAAGACTGCTTTCTTTTTTTAATCGAAAAAAAAAAAGTCGGAAAATGTTATTGTCTGCTTCATCCCCCTCCATTTTCTGTCTTTTAACTTTGCTTGCATAAAAAAATAATATGATTTTACTATTTAACCACTCGCCTGCTCGTAATAACACGTATTTTTATCAGATGTTGAACGAATAATAAATTAAATTGGTGTGGCCTTACGCACTATTTCGCGTGCTTAACTGTATCAATTTGTATTACAATGTAGTACTCAAACCAACGTACATGTATGAGCCGACGGTATAGTGAAATTCATATATTTCAGAAATTAGAAAAAACCTGATTAGCATGCCATGTTCACTTGTTGTTCTAAAGTAGTAGTAAAGTTCACAAGAATCTTTTTTCTAAATTTTAATAAAAGTAATTAATCATTCCTTCATGGTTTTTTTTTTCAGATTCGTGGAGATAGCTGTATGTACAAGGAGGCTAGAAACACCAACAACTGCCGCCGGTAGACGGGAGCAGTCATTATTTATTTGTAAATTTCTTCATAGTTGTTAAATAAATTAAGAATGCTGTCTTTTACTCTTCTGAAATTTTTAATTTAGAAAATAAAGCAGAAAAGAAGGTAGCTGTTTGTGTAACATTGTTACGACATATGGCAGCCTATGCGAAGGTTTGTTTGTTTGTTGTTTAACGTCCCTCTCGAGAAATTTTCACTCATATGAAGACGCCACCACTTGCTGGTGAAGAGCTGCAAATTTTGTCCTATTCTCGGCACTTTTCGGCCATTGAACAGTGAGGGATTTTTTCATGTCATCACTTACTGCGACACGGGACTTCGGTTTATATATGTTGCCATCTGAAGAACCGGTCAGTGGGATTCGAACCCGTGACGTAAGCCGGGATCAACACCTTACTTTACGACTCTAGAGCAGACACTTTTACCACTGAAGGTAAATACTTCTCAAATGCAATTGAACTCCAAGGTCAAGCGATCAAAAATTTTGTTACCAAAAGAAAGCATTTCATGGCTTAATGATATACCTCTCAATAAAAGTACATGTGGAATATGAAAACCATATCGCCAACTGTTCAAAAGTTAAAGATTTTCAAAAGTAAGTCAAACTGGAAGTTCAGGGTCAAAAGTCAAAACTGTCTGTATCCATAAGAAGGCGTCGTCACAGGAAATACACCGATGAAATTTATAAAAAGCTACAGAACTAACACCCTGCTCAAGTATTATTGCCAAAGTTATCGTTTTTTTAAAGTGGGTCAAACTCTAGGGTTAGGTCAAAATACATGTACTTAGGGAAAAGTCTGTCACAATAAATAAACATAAAAAATATGTCTGTCCTACATGTAGCCCCAACTGTGTAAAAGTTATTGTCAAGATAATGTTTTTTTTTTGTGGCGAATGTGTGTCAAATTCCAAGGTGAAGAAGTCAAATATGTTGAGACCCAAAGAAAGTCTTGTCACAAGGAATATAGACACGTAAAATACGAAAACCATAGCTACTACAAATCAAACGTTATGGGAAAGTTTTTTGCAGAAAAACAGGTAAACTCAGCTGTTTTTCAAGGTATGTATGTATTTGAAGATTGGAGATTTGTAAATATCCTGAAGCATCTCAACCGGAAGAGGAACGGTGCAACAAAAAAGAGTCATTGGTGTTCTACATGGAAGAGGCGTGAAATCATTGTCCTGTGGATCCGTCTGTCTGTTTGTTCGCAAAAAACTTAAACCTTGCCCATTACTTTTGAATGGGTGGTGCTATGACTTTCATATTTCGCAGGTGTATTCCTTTTGACAAGATCGTTGTTAGAATAAGACGGACAGACAGGACAAAGATTTGTTTTATTATTAGGTTTTATGAAATCAGTCATTGGTTTTTAATCTTCACTTTTTTTTCATTGTTGCATATCATAAAATTATCATAGAATGTATCATAAAATTGAATGTAATATTGTGTATTATTGTTCCATTTAACAAAAATCGGTAATGGTAAGAAAATTAAAAAAGTCTTTAATGGCAAGCCAAATTCACAAGAATGAGCTAAACATAGTTTCACAGTTGAAATACTAAGTTTATCGACTGTAAACTATAGTTTACAAACCATGAACTATAGTTAACAATTCGTTAACTATAGTTTTCCTCTGTAAAACTATATTTAACGGTTGTTAACTATAGTTTTCGAATGCTAATCTAAGTTTATCTGTAATAAAACGTTAACAATAGATTTTGTTGATAAACATACGAGATTCATGTCTGTAAACTATAATTTACAATCGTTAAGAGTTATAATCATAGTAAGTTTCACAAATCGTGAAACTATATTTTTCAGATCGTTAACTATAGTAAAGGGTTGTAAACCATAGTTTACAAATCGTGAAACTGTATTTATCAGATAATTATGGCACGCCGATTGGTTCAAAATTATTTTCTGCACAACGATCAAGATTTTATACACGAGCTAGATGAAAAATATACACGAGTAAAATAAAAATGCACGTATAGGTAAAAATTGCACATAGTTTGAAAGATTTTAACACAAACATAACGAAAAATACACGAATCCGAAATTTTTTACACGATTAAGGGGTATAATATGCACAAACAAAAAATCAAAAATTGCACGAGCAGAGGAAACTAAAAATTACACAAACAATTTTACTGCGCATACAGCTGCGCATATCATTATTATGCACATAGAATATTCAATGTGTTCTTGGTTTTCTGTACTCTTTATCTCTTCAGTCATGTATACTTAGCTGGATGTAATCGAGAATGGAAATTAAATGGCGTTGACGATGACATGTGCTTTACTTTGCTTTTTTATTTCTTTGCTAAACCTCGATCCGATTTCTAGCTAATGCCAATCGAACAAATGAAGTGTTTCCATGTGATCTATCTGTGAGAATACTTCAAAGTTTTTCAAAATATTATGCTTTTTCTTGTATTGACCGAGATCCTAACTAATATATGGAGGTATTATTTGATGACAAAAATTGTGACAAGAAGGAATCGTATAATGCGAGGTAAAAAAAACAAAAAAAAAACAAAACAACAACAACAACATTGCATATGATGCTCTTGACTCCGAACGAAAAGAACCAAACGATAAATATTGCGACTGACTAGGATTTTGATTTTCTATCAAAAAAAATTGTTAGAATTATTATTTTTTTGTTTTTTATTTAAATAAACTCTCTATAACTTTTGAAAATTTCTAATTTATAGATACAACTTTAACGGAAAATACTTGTATACATATAAAATTAACACTTGCATAATCAAACGATTAATAAAGTTGATTGTTCATGACATTGGCAGAATTATTGCTGATTATAATCATTAAGCTGTAGAATTAATTTTGGTACTCTTCATTTGTACCTATTTTATTTTCTTTACCACTCGGAATAGGAAATTACTCGTATATATACCTTTATTCATTTTATTGAATATATATTTTTTTGAACTTAAAAAGCTTGGTATTACCTTAGATGTACACAGCATGTATTTAGATCTAATGTCAAACATAAAAAATGTTTTATTCTAATAACACATGTAATCATACTTATAAAATATCAGGACATCAGTTTTGGTTGGAGATCTTTAGCATACTTTGTTATGAAATCCTTCCATGAAATCTCATATTTTCAGTTATAAGCTACTCAATAAAAATAAGACATTTCTTGTAAGCGTTACCCTCATTCGTAATGGCGATTGCATGATATATGTTTTCATTTTAATAAAAAGGACCAGATAAAAGGAGAATATATATATATATATATATATATATATATATATATATATATATATATATATATATATATATATATATATATATTCTATGTGCTTTATGTACATGCGCTTTTGTGTTTTGTTACTTTAAAAACATTGTGATTACTAAGTACATCTATGCGTACAATGTTACAAATAGGAAGCAATAAAAAAATTAGAATGGATAAAGCAGTGTAATAGAACGTGTTTTATCACTCTTGAAAAATGCAAATAATTTTTGTTCTTTATGGACTCGATGTGTGGCAACTATTTTCCAAGACAACAAATTCTGTTTACATTTCAAATTCGACTTCATGATTTTTAAAATTATTTTCCAAACACTACGTTTATTGTAAGATTATTTTTTAACCCAAATACATGTAAATGGCCATTATGAAAAAAAGAACATGATTATACATATACTTGTATTATTATGAAACGAACTAATCGTCAATCAGGCCTGTAGACCCCCCACCCCATTCCCCCTCATTTTCGAGTACATGTATTGATTTTGCTATAGTAAATTTTCCTTTACATGCTGATTGACCCCAACCCCAAATTTTTCACTGTTGTTAGGTCGAGCGCAGGCAAATCCCAGGATATCGTACCCTTAAATTCTTAAAAATATATTCAGGCACGTAGCATTAGAAGGGACCTCCCCCCCCTCGTTTTTTTTTGTTTTTATTTATTTATTTTTTTTTTGCAAACAGAACCTACTTCCACTGTAAAATGTCCACTGAAAAGCCCCCTTTTTGTTGCTGGATTGGAGTTGAAGGTGCCTCGATCACTACCTCAACGAAATAGGATTTTCGAGATTGGACGCTTTACCTTTTTTCTGCTTGTTAATTAGAATGTTTAGGTCTAATTTGCCCCCACCCCTCCTCACTTTATAAAGCGATACTAAATGTGTATGAGCATAGTATGATTTTAAATTTTAAACTCCTTTATATGCATTTTACCTATTTAAAATAATCTACACTAGAAAAACAGAAATTCACATATAAGTAAAACACTGTATAATTTTACTACGAGTTATTTAAAAAAAAATTATGGATTCGTTTAGTATTAAAATTAAAGTTGCGCAATTATGTGTTCGTTTTTTTTTTTACTGTTTACTTCTAAAAATGTATCGGACAAATTCCACATCCCAGATGGCAGCAACATTGCTTCAAAATCTCTGAATGAATTGCTAGTAACCTTCAATCAAAAGGTATTATTGATGTGTCAAATAACTATAAATCGATTAGCGTACAGGTGTCTTTCATTCCAGCACCAGCAGGGAGCCAGGAATCTCTCGATATGAAAAGGTCACACATCCACAACCTTAATTATTACCAAAGTACAAACAGTGGGTGGTGGAGGAAAAGAGTTTCATTTGTTGTTAGTTAACTTTCCTGTATTACCTCACGCTGTTTTTATTTATTTACCTTTACTATGATATTATCATTGTTTTGAACTTTCAAAAGATATTGCTATATAGAGGAATGACATAAAAAAAATCTAACAATCAAACACGTTACTGATAATATATATGCCCCCCCCCCCCTTTACGTTTTCTATACATGACTGTGTAGAATGTTTTAAATAGAGGGGTGTTAATTTATATGCATATTGTAGTCATTGTATAAAACACAATGTGCGTATTCTTGAGAGTCTAGCGTAATTCTGAAAGACTGAATCCTTTTTAAAAGATTGAATAAATATTGTTAACACATTATTCATCCTCTTGTTTTATAACGTTTCAAGCATCTGAGCCACACTGAGCTCTAATGAATATTAATGAAATGTGCGCAATG